TAATTTTTTATTTATTATTTTTCACTGTTGATGTACACACACACGCGCGACCGGATGACGAGAAATGGCGGATCGACGGTGAACAACTTGGCGAGACGTGTATACCTTTTCGGGCGTAAAAATCGAATAGAAAACATCCTGATCTAAGCAATCCTTTTTGATCGATTAGGTGGTGAAAACGGTAACGTATGGCGTGTGTGTAGGTTTGTTGCGTGGGGTTGCGTGGGGTTGCGTGTATGATAATGTAGGTTATGTGCTGACTGTTGTGTTGTGTGATGAGTATGAGTTGTGTGACGAATATTGCATTGTGTGCTGAATGTGGTGTGTCGTGATGCAGTTTGTGTTGAGGGGCGAGATGCCATGAAGTCGCATAAACAGAAAGACTTGCGGTTCATTCGGAAGTTGCTTTTAAAAAATGTAAAACATACTGTTACAAATCCCTTTTGTTAAAATGAACTCTTTATATTCTTGCACGTTAAAATATTTACTTTTTCAAATTTATAGATACCATAAGAGTGTCACTATGCTCGTACATGGTTTCCAGAGCTTTTACTGTAGTACACATTGTAGTACGGAAAACATATGCCTGCCTTTAGCATAATAGCGATCACATCGCCACTATAGAACCTGCAATTTATTATAATTCATCAATATTCAGAGACTATGTAAGTAAGTAAGTGAATGGAAAGAACTTACGAGTATTAGCTAGTTAGAGCGTTCAAGATGCTAATACCTTTCCTATAAATCTCGACATTTCCGATGTACAATATAAAAATTAAAATGCAAAAATTGTTGTTATATCGGCAGAAAACATTCCTGAAGTAATTTCTTATAATTCATAGAATTCATTATCATAAAATTCAAAATTGTCACAGTCCATACGAGAGCTAATAGCTAATGGAAAGTCAGATTTATTTTTGAGGGAGAGTCGTTTTGAGGGAAGAGTTTAGGATGCTTTAGATGACTATATTCTGCGGAACATTTACGGATGCATTCGAAGTACTTCTTCATTGATATAAACAGAAAAAATGATTATTTAAAGGATCGTCTCAGTGTCAAATTTTCGAAAAATCAATTTGTTTTGTTGCGTTATCGGATTGCATATACTGTTATAAACATTAAACGCTACAGCGTTTCTTGTAGAGAGCGAACAGAGTGGGAAACCGAGCGAGACAATCATTAAACGCGTTTATCTCAAAATGGTGTTTTTTCAAAGCAATTTCCTTCTTTCAAATGAAGAGTTTTGAAGATATGTAGTTCCAATTTGGAGAGAACATTTTTAACGTTATTCTCTATCGCGATATCTAATCTTTTTTCGAAATCTTCCAATTTTTTTCCACGAAAAACTGTCGAAAAAAGGGCTAATTTCAATACTTTTTATTCCAATCATTTTGTCAAATTTAACAAAAAAAAAACTTCCATAGCGCGATATCGACTTTCCTACAGATTAATAACCCTTTTGAATATTTTTTAGATGAAAATTGCGGTCAAAATCGTGGACATTAGGGTGCTTAAAAAAATTTTTTATTATTATTTTCAACTCTTACCCCTTCAAATGTTAGTGATTGACAAAATAAAAATCCCCCCTCAACCTAGGCGCTGTAGCTTAACTCTAAAGAAATACAAAAAATATTCACTTTTAGACAGTAATTTCTTGTTACTTTACATTTATATATTATTGTTTATCACACATGAATAAAAACGACTCTTGTATCTAAAAAATAGTTTTCTAATTATAATCTATAGTGAAATTGGAGAAAAAAAAATTAGTAATTTTTGCTTAAAAATCGAAAAATTTCTCTAATTTGTACGAAAGCAAACTTTAACCGGAAAAAAATTCCCTTATTTTTGTCATAGGAGAAACCAAAATTTAACATGTAGATGTCAGACCCCAAAAGTCGTGTTGACCGGTGTCATCCGCGATTCAAAAAAAGGATCCCTACAAGACGGCAGAACAAATTCCAGTTTCAATTTTTTGGAGAAAACCCAGATCCACTATCTGTAGTTAACGTAAAAAGACGGTTACTCGAGGCAGAACTCTTCGGAAAGTTTCAAGGAGCTGCTTAGAGTGTTCAAAGAAATACCGCCATTGGACAGCAAAGTAGTGGAAAAGACTATTATTTTTCGATGAAAGTATGATAAATAGGATTTCTTCAGATGGAAAAACTTATGTCCGCAGGCCCCGATGCAAGGAGTTGGACCGCAAATACACTAGGATAACTTTAATACATTGCGGTGGCTGCATAATGACTTTGGGTGCCATATCGTGGTGAGGTATTGGACCTATTTATAAAATAAACGATATTCTGATGATAATATGTCCGTAACGTGAATTTACCAGCAAGATAAAGACTTGAAACATATTGCTCGTGGTACAAAACAATGGTTTCAGAAGAACATGCTGCATCTATTAGACTAACTTTTATGCATCCCGGACTTAAACTTAATCGAAAATGTTTGGACACATTTGAAGAAAAGAGTTCGTTCTCACAAAGTTGGAAATTTCCTGGAATTATACGAAAAGGTTAAACAATAATGGAATAATATTCCAAAGGACATCTTGCGAAAGTTTAGTAGAGTTCATGCCAAATTTTTCCAAAAACAAAAGAAAGCGTTGTTAATTAGGTGCACGATCTATTTTTGACTCATAAAAATGCCTTTAAATATGCAAAATTTATCCTTTAGAGAGAAACATTTTTTTGAAAATGAAAATATCAACCGATTGGGATTTTTCCTACTAGCGTTGTTAATTAGTTGCACGCATCTGTATTTATAAAAAAAAACGATCCCTTGTACCAACTGAACAATACTATGTGAACTTTGTCTGAATATGATTCATGAATCTTTAATGTTCATTAGTTATGCCTTAAACACATGAAAGACGACACGCAGCATCTGTCCGATATTAAAATACATAGCACGACTTCAGAGCAGCAGGCTTGCAGTCACTGTTGCCAAATTAAAACTTTAATTATGCCGACGATAAAGGGCAGCTGTAGTGATGCTACTAATAAGCGAAATTTAAAATTATTCAAAGCAAGCAACAAGTCAAAAAAAGTATGAAATATAACAGTTTAACAACTTTTCAGTTGCTTTATGATAGGAAAAGCCGTAAATTCTGCTTTGAAGGAAAACGTGTCGGAAGATATAAAAATTCTTGACAAGATAGTATGAAGATGCCTGAAAAATAAAGGGCTGTGATAAAAACCTATTTTAAATGATAAGCAATATGAATACGTCACCTTCTATAATTGGAAGCATATTTACTTGGTCCGATGCAACCAAAATAATTGAAATAGGATCATAAGAGTGTGGATATGTACTGAAAAACAGGTTGATGTACTATACAAGATTGCATCATATGTCAAAGAATAAAATGCAATGGGTCATTTAAGTCTAGGGGTAGTTATCGCGGAAACGAGCTTGACGTACTTCGGCGAATCGCCACATATTATATTGATATTCTGCAGGACTCATATTTTCGTTCAGGATAACGATCTAAAACTCACCGCAACAATTACGGAATTGTGCTTTGTAAGTAATGTAAAAATTCCTTGCTGCAAAGAAGGATGGAAACAATAAAAAATATTGTTTGCTATTTTTGATTTTATGTATATTGTATATTTGATCTAATCGGTGTTAGCTGCATATATTATGCAGATAACAATTTTCGGATGCATTGGTGCATATGAAGGAATAATGGATCAAAGAAAATTATTGGATGGACACATTGGGTAGCAACTTGAAAACCAAGTTACCTTTTTTCATTCTGAATACGATTACGGTGATTGCACATTGAACTTTTTCCTTGTTTTTTTCGAAAATTTTTTTCTATATCAACTGTGTTTTGTTGATATTCCTTAGTTCGTATTAAAAAGTTTTTAAAATTTAATTCGCTAATAAAATATGCTTATATTTTATTGATAGTTGTTCTCCGCTATTGTACCACGATTAAAAGATTTTTTTAAATATCTCCCAGATTCTGAAGTTACCCATCAGAAAACACAAATTTGTGTATTTTTCCATTGGAAATGGCATTGAAATTAAGTTTACAATAAAACTGGTTATGTTTTATGACGACGCAGTTGTATTAAGTCAGCTTTTAAAACATTACAGAACTAGCGAAATAAATAATTTATGTATATTTCAGGGCGAATTTCCATACCCTAGTACTTCTTCATGGACTAATTCTGAGTTGGGTATACCCGCAGTGAAAGAATAAAGGTAATTTTTGTTTTAACATCAACCACTTTTCATGTATATAAATAAAACAAATAACAAGTTGTTTTTAATTAATTTATATTTCAGGCAGGATATTCATACTTCAAAAGTTTCGTTAAGTTAAATATTACAATTTTGATGGAATGCTAAATGGAAAATGTATACAACTTCAAAAATAACAAATTATTTTATTTTCTTAGCCGCCTTGTACGAAATGGGTTATAATGTTATGTTACTACGGAGTCACGCCCGGAATGGCATTAGTTATTTTAGTCAACAAAGTATTTATCCTTTAAATGAAACGTTTTTTTCTAACAGTTGAGATGTGCTTTTTTTTGGGAAGTTTATTGCATTTTTTTTATATTACTCTAGTTAACGAGTTTTTTTTTTTCCTTTGAATGAAAACTCTGTTTTCTTAACAATGGAGGTGTGTTGTTTGTCGGAATAAATATACAAATAGTAGGTTCGTTCACAGTGCTAAATGCGTGTTTCCCTCTAGCGCTTTAAAGAGCTACTGAATCGCACATGATAAATGAGGAAAAGGTTGACAAGTAAGTAAGTATCAGGGAGAAAGAGATGTCTAATTTATTCCAGTTTGAAAGCGGCTTAAAATAAACGGTTTTTGTTTTTATAATTTTCCATTGTAGCCAGATCGGGCAAAATAATAACTTTTGGGCATTTAAATTAAAACTCCCAACATTTATTACATTAAAAAATTTGTTATATTCAACTTCTAATATACCAGAAAAMTATTTAAATGTTATTCATGATCTAATGGTACATTAATAGAACTGACTTTTGAACAATACCTAATAAGGTGAATTAGACCTGCTAGTACTCAAATAATAAATGTTTTTAATCATTTTTAATTGAAAATTTATATTTCTATGCATCACATTTTTATAAGCGATCTTGAAACACGGCAACAAATCTGTTCTCATATGTTTTCGGTGTAAATTCGATCTAGCCGTTAGCGTAGTTTGGTAGCTAAGCGGTTCTTATATTTCCAGTGGCAGGAGAGTTCGGCATCTTTTATCTTTGGTAAGTATGATGTAGTGATGGCAAGATTGGCACGATTCCGATTACTTTGGCGGAGGGGTAAAAAAACCGAATTTCCATAGAAATGGGGTACGTACGGATAGGGGAGCTTCTCCAGAGTAGGAATATCCAAAAATTAGATAAAAATTACTAATATTTTT